ACCTAAGTATGTTCACATGAGAATCCTTAGCACATAGAGTTAGTAAATACACTCTGCAGAAATGAAACATTACATTATATCAGAGCCACACCTGGACAGGAGTCTAGTCCCACAGAGAACAAATCCAAATTTTCTGAAGATCTGTATAATAAGCAGAAACTACAAATATCAGTTGGGGGAAATCGGAGGAGGAGACAAATCAGGAGAGACTGTGGACTCTGAGAAACAAACTGAGGGTTTTGGAGGGGAGAGGGAGGTTGGGTGAGCCTAATGGTGGATATTAAGGAGGGCACGTATTGCATGGAGCACTGGGTATGGTGCATAAACAATGAATTTTGGAACACACACACAAAAAATAAAATTAAACTTAAAAAATTTAAAAAAATTTTTTTAAAGAAGACATAAGGAACCACTACTAGCCCAGGATGTAGCATATTTCCTATTAGAGGATAGAGGTAGCTATATTACCCTGATAACATCACTGAATAGAAGGTCTATTTTCATAGAAGGATTAGGCATAATATGATAGGTCATGCTGACACAAACATTGTCTACACTCTAAGAATCTTGGCTCTGAAGTGATATGGCCCCACGTCTGAGTCTTAGCTCTGCCTTAATTTCCACATCTATAAAATGAAGGTGAGAAGATTAAGATCTCCCTCATAAACTTGTGAAGATTAAATGAGATGATGCATATAAAAGCTTGGCATTGTGCCTGGCACATGGCAAATATTCAAAGTTAATTTTTATTATTACCTCTCCAACTTCTTGCCTCTACTTGTATCTGCTGATTCAGATGGGAAAGAAAGAAATATCCCCATGAAACCTGGGCAGTATCTGCAGAAACTGTGAAGTTGTAGAATAAAACATCACATCCTGGTGGCACAGGTCACTTTTTATTACTAGTGACAGGGACTCCAGAGAAGAAAAGTAAGTATAAAAAATTCAGAGACCTGGGACGCCTGGGTGGCTCAGTCAGTTAAGCCGCTGCCTTCGGCTCGGGTCATGATCCCAGGGTCCTAGGATCGAGTCCCGCATCAGGTTCCTTGCTCCTCTCTCTCTGCCTCTGCCTGACACTCTGCCTGCTTGTGTGCTCTCTCGCTCTCTCTGACAAATAAATAAATAAAATCTTTAAAAAAAAAAAATTCAGAGACCCACTGGAGTAACTAATCCAAGTTACCACTTTGTTGAAGGTCCCTGCTTTGTGTCAGAGCAACACAGTAGCAGTAATAGTAGTAATACTATTGTAATGATAGTGGCAGCAGTAATGTTTATAGATCACTTCCTATGTGCCAGGTACTATTTTTAAATGCATTTCATGTATTAACTCATTCAACCTAGCAAGTCTTTGAAATAAGCATATAGACTGAAGAGTCCAACAGCTCTGGAGTTAAATCTTGGTCCTGCCATTAATGAGCAAGATACCTCACTTCTCTGAGCATTAGTTTCCTCATATCTAACTGGGAGTAAGAACATCTAACCCACATGGATAATGTGAGGACTGTTTGAGATAACAAACATAAAGGACCCACCACGTGCCAGATAACCAGCTGATACCCTAGTAGCTGTGTCTTTATTATTGTTACATTAACATTTTTGATACTGTTAATATTATCATTACATCTGAGGGCCAAAAACTTCATTCTGCAGGCATGCAGAGTGAAGTTTCAAAAGGGGGAACGTTTTTCTTCCTTTCTGAGTTCCTCTTTAGTCTGTTTTTTTTTTTAATGGTAAGCATTCTATGATATTATTAAGCTTTTCTCAGAATTAACTATACATGAATACAAATAAAATATTATACAGATAAGAAGACCTTTAGACTAGCTTTAAAAGTTGGGTTTTTTCTTCCCCCCTCTCCACAGTAGTGGTGAAAATACTATAGTTCCTTCAAGTAAACAGTGCTGAAAAGAATGAAAATGGCATATGGCTGGGGGAATCTTCCAAAGAAACTACTCTACACAGCCATCCCCTGTTCTTTTCTCTGCCTTTTAAGGTCACAGTAACAGGATAGAAAATCTGGGACTCACACCATCTGTCCAGACAGTTCCATCACTGCTCATTTCTCTTGTTAAATAATCAGAACACTTCACACTTCCCAAACACTGCTACCATAAAGAGCAGTTAAAGCAGAATGAAAGAAGCTCTTTCTATGCAGAAATGTAGTGGTTAGAAATGAACCATTCTTTTGAAGTTTGTGCGTTTCAGATCATGTCAGTGAAGAAAGAAATTCAAGCCTTAGAAGGAAAATTTAAGAATAACAGAATTATAATAATGGCTCTAAAAAGTATCTTTCTTAGAAAATAGGTGACATCCTCATACGAGTTCTTTAAGAATAGACTTGGCAGTTTAATACTGAGTTAATTACATAGGTATCTAATCTGTAAGTTTCTCATAAGACTAAGAAGAGAAATTATTTTCTTTATCCCTGTCCTACTAATACAGTAGTAGTAATAGAAGCTAGTAATTACTTGGCACTCAGGATATCTTTAATTCTCTTCAAAATACTTTTTGTGTATTAACTCACTTAATCCTTAAAGCCATTCCATGTAGCAATTTCTTTTATTATTCCCATTTTACACTTGAGGAGACTAAGGCACAGAGAGGTTAAATAACTTGTCCAAGGTAATACAGCTGGTAAGTATAAAGCCGGGATTCAAAAGCAAGCAAACAGGCTCCATCCCTTTCATTTCTGTGCTACATTACAGTTTTTTTTTTTTTTTAAAGATTTTATTTATTTGACAGAGAGAGATCACAAGTGGGCAGAGAGGCAAGCAGAGAGAGAGAGAGGGGAGGAAGCAGGCTCCCTGCGGAGCAGAGAGCCCGATGTGGGACTCGATCCCAGGACCCTGAGATCATGACCTGAGCTGAAGGCAGAGGCTTAACCCACTGAGCCACCCAGGTGCCCCCTACACTACAGTTTTTAAAGAAACCTCTAAATTATATGTTAAATTCAGCTTTTGTGTGTGTGTGTTTTTAAAAGTTTAAGGTTTACTTATTTATTTTAGAGAAAGAGAGAGGGAGCTCAAGAGGAAGGGGCAGAGAGAGGGGGACAGAAAATCCCAAGTAGATTCCATGCTGAGCACAGAACCTGATGCAGGTTCCATCTCATGCCCCTGAGGTCATGACCTGAACTGAAACCGAGAGTTGGACATTCAACTATTTGAGCCACCCGGGCACCCCCAAATTCACCTTCTTTATTATATCTGAATAAAACAACTACAGCTGAATGTCATAAACACTTACCCCCATTCACCTAGCCACAGTGAGAATGTCAATTATATATTCTTCAACTTATTAATTTCAGAGCTTACCCAGCTTGAATTTGTTATTGTCATAAAGCAAAATAATTTTTTATATTAAATAAAAGTTTCAAGCATATGCTCTGGGGTCAATGTCAATTTGGGGATATATTTATGACTTTGAGAAAAAGGTTTGGATTATTCTCAAACCTCCAGAATTTAACAGTACATGAAGACTCCTTGCCTTCAAATAAAGATTCAGCAATACCAAAAGGGTGTCGATGTAGCCGGGAGAAACCAGTCTGACGAGATCGGGCGCGTTCAGGGTGGTATGGCCGTAGACGAGAAACCAGTCTGAATATAGCATTTCTCTTCCATGTCACAGAACACTCCCCACTCAGCTCAATGGCTCAAATTTATTTAATGATAGAAGCTCCAATCTCAGCTACGTAGGCAAATTGAAGCTTCTGCTCACGTAACTATCATAATAATGAGAATAATGATGATAATCATTTTAGTAATCATAATAATAACAATGATAACCATCATTTACTGATTAACTTAGTGCTGAGCATTATGCCAGGTGCCTCATATCATCAGGTATACTGGGGGGCAGTGGGGAGCAGTGGCTAAAGGACAGGGAGCTGTCTGAGTCCTTCCATTATTTGCTGTGTGGTCTTGAACAAACTACTTACTTTCCAGCCTCTCACAGAATACCTGCCTCCTAAGATTGTTTTGACGATCAGAGGTGTTAACACATGCAAAATGTTCTTAATAGCCAAACGCACAGTAGTGCTACCCAAACTTAACAGACTAGGAGCTTAATGTTCAGAGAAAAAGCTAAAGGCCACAAATAGGTTAGGGTCCAGCGAAGGTCCCCAGCTCTGCCTGACTCCAAACCCCATGCTCTTTGGGTTCTCATTCCCATTCATTCGCCTCTCCTCTCTTTCTCTCTCAGAATTAAGAATAGGTCAACTGCTTCATAAAGGAGAGCATTGTTACTCTAATGTCATTTTTGTCTTTTCTCATCAGAGTTTTACTGTAGCAGCATTAAAAAAAATGTTAAAAACGTCAATCTAACATACCGTACTCCATCAATTCCAAGACATTTCCCCCACCCAAATTTTTCCATCTGTGAATCATGTGTCTTAGAATTATAATTGGCAGTATTCTTCCTTTCTGAGTAGCACATAAAATAATGGTGCATCTTACAATCCATATCATCTTACATTTGACAAAATACGGTAGCTGTTAAGCTCAACAAGTATGCTTTAAGGATCAGCCCTCAGTCACTGTTGAAGGCACATTCCAGAGCTTGCCGAGCATTCCTGGCCTCAGAGTTCAGTTCCAGTTCAGTTCACTTAAACTTCACTTGACTATCACCTTCCTATGGACCCTTACTCATTTCCATCAAATTAACAATCTCCCATAACTCTAACACCCAATCAGTGTTTCGGCTAAGGCTCTGCTTGGTTTTTGTGTTCCTTGTTTTGGTTTTCCCTTTCTGATGACTCAAGAGCTTCTAATCATAATGACTCTTTGGACTGAAGTCCCAGGGGCACTTCCTCCTCTTACACTGTCCTTATAAGTAGTCCATACTTTCCAAACATAATTGGGCTTTATGGGTAAACTGAGAAAGTATTAGCTAAGAGTGAAGCTGTGACAGTCTTTCATTTGTTTTTCATTTTCAGTTACTTCCTTATTTCTACCTTCCTAAGTTACTTTTCTAGACCCTTTTATAAGTACTTATCTGGTTCATACTTAAATTTTTTTCCCGTTTTGGCCTGAGTGCCTCCATTCCACATATGGTCAGTCTCTTCATAGAAGAAAAAAATGTCGAGTTTTATATCATCTTTTCCTTGGAAAGATAGTTCCAAGCTGTCCTCTACCTAGGATGAAGATGAAAACCTTCACAGACTGAAACAAAGGAAATATATATTCTTTAAAAAAATTTGTTTTATATAGAGAGAATACGGATTCTAAGATAATATGTTTTTTCAAGCTGGAACATCTCTGAAATTGGGATTTATCAGTAGTATGCCAACATTTGATTTCTTTCTTAAATGCATATAAAATAATGTTACTTCTGACAATTAATGAAAACCCAGAGTAAATAACTTACAGTAGCTAAATTACCACTCTGCAGAACATTCTGTTCCTGAGCCCCTTTCTGAATAAAGGAAAGAAACCAAAGAAAAATAACTCCCTTTAAATAATCAAGTAAAACTATTAGGAAATAAGTCTCTCATCTCAATCAATAATAGGTACTTAAATAAATGTGGCATCATAGAAACCTACCAATTTTCCATAAATTATATTATATGAAAAAAATAAAAGTTAAAGATACAAAGAAGTCTGAGAGCATTTCCCTAAAGAAACTTAACCTACAAATAATTGTGTTCTCATTAGACGTGGTGTATCTGTCTTGTTATAGCACCAATCACATAATTATTATGTAGTTTTTTTTCCCAATTAGACAGTGAACTCCTCAAAGATAAGTACTGTAACATACTGATCTTTGTGTCCCAGGTGCAGAGTGCAGTGCCAGGGAGAAAGTGAGTATAAACATTTGCTGCATGCCTAGAGTTCAACTGCTTTGACTCTGACCTCTGGAGAATATTTTATTAAATTTTTTTAATAAACTAATTACAATAAAGAATGTAATTTTTCAGTATTAAACATACTTCTACTTGCTTTCCAGCACAACACCTTTCTGGGAACAACCAAATTAAGAGTAAGACGTCATTTGAAAAAAAAAAAAAAGTAAGATGTCTGCAAGGAATCATGGGCTTAGGGCATAAAAATCAAATTGTCTAAAAAAAGATTTCATTTAAGTCATGATGACCTATTCCTAGTTCAACTCTGAGAAAACTGCTATAACCCAGAATATGTGAAATAAATAAGAAATTCAAGTACTATTTGAAATGATTCTGTTTTTAATCCTTAGCCCCAAAGGACCATTTCATGTTGATGATAGGATGCCTAAGTGAATATAAAATTAAGTGACTTATGAGAAACATTATAACTTCAGGTAGGGTAGGTGAGATTCTTAATAACTGTATTAATTTTACATTATATGGTATATTAATTACATTATAAGAGTTCAAGACCCTTTTCCCCTTCTCATTGTCAACAGTAAGCCAGATTTTCCAGTTTCCTTAAGTAGTGCAAAAGTCATGTAATAAGCTTCTGCTGAGCTTATCCTGGCCAATACTGAGTGATACACATGTAACATTCTTAACCATCTCTGAGCTGTTTAATATAAACTTTTCTTTTGAGACATGGTACTTATGAAGTAAAGCAGGTTTTTATTACTGACCTTCCCAAATTTGTGTTTGAGTGGAAGTCCTACATCCTGAAATGCTGAAATAATATCAGATTTATAATCTTGTATAAAAATTCCTAGGTCAACATCTTTACTATATGGAATAATGTTGCATTGCCGATACCACCCTAAAAATAAAGAAGAAAAAAAAAAGAAAATTTTTTAAAAATTTAAGTTTGGAAAAAATTAGTCACTATTGTATGATCTTTGTAAGAGTGGATTTTATTTCTTAAGGTATTTCTTAAGATTAGACTTACAGTGCTTTACCAAAAATATTTTTAAAAGATGAAATCCCAAACTAAAATCTGTGGTTATAAGAAGCCATCTGTTGAAGAACCTTCCTTTCTTTTTCTCTTTCTTTCTTTCCTTCATTTTTACTGTGCTGAAGACTTAGCATCCTCAAAAATTTTATGATGTATTTTAATTTCTAAATAAACTATTATTTTTAATAATGTTAACTGGGCCAGGCTGCCTGGGTGGCTCAGTCAGTTGGCCTGGGTAGGTCAGTCAGTTGGGCATTTCAGCTCAGGTCATGATCTCAGGGCTGTGGTATCAAGTGAGTCCTGCGTCAGGCTCTGCACTCCATGCAGAGTCTGCTTATCCCTCTCCCTCTGCTCCTTCCCTGCATTCTCTCTCTCTCTCAAATAAATAAATAAAATCTTAAAAAAAAAATGTTAACTGGGCCATCCATTAAAAAAAATTAAATTACTTTTGAGAATGTTTGATCATAAACTTCTAATGATGAAGGCTGCCTTTAAGATATGCTAAAAAATATAATCTAATTCTTTTGCTTAACCAATATGCCTTTCCTGAGCAATAATTTGTAAAACTTAACAGATCTGAACAGCTTGTGCCTGATGCATCATATAAAGATTTATTTATTTTAGAGAGAAAGAGCATCTAAGTGTGGAGGGAGGGAGAGAAGAAACTCAAGCAGACTCCCCACTGAGCACAGAGCCCAACGAAGGGCTCTATCTCAGGATCCTGAGATCATATCCAAAACCAAGTGTTGGTCACTTAACTGACTGCAATACCAGGTGCCCCTGATGGGTCACATAAAAAAGAGAAGTACTATCCTCAATTTTCAGCACATTGTCAATATCAAAAGATATTTCTAGGTATATTTACAATGTACCTACTTCTCAATTAGGTGCTATAGTACTGTTTAAAAAAACCAAAATCTATACCTTAATACTACTAAGGGCTCTTGGGTCTCCCCTAATATCCTTCTAATTCTTTCATCCAAATTATTCAGAAAGTATGTGAATGTCTATAATTGTCTTTATAGGCATTGCTATTGGGCAACACTGTTTGGCATTCTAAACTTTAATTTCACTGTAACATATATCTTTAGAAGTCTAGGATGGCGTCTCATCCCTAGCTTGAGAAAAATCCACACTCCACATCCATCAAAGAAACATAAACTATTAAAAATGGAAGGCTCTTTAAGGGCGCCTTGGTGGCTCAGTTGGGTAAGCATCTAACTTTTGATATCAACTCAAGTCTTAATCTCAGGGTCATGAGTTCAAGCCCTGAGTTGGGCTCCATGCTGGCTGTGGAGCCTACTTTAAAAAAAATTTTTTTTAAATCATGACAAGTAATTAAGAAGTATTTCTGAAGACATAGTTTATAAAACAATATTGCTCCAAAAAGTTGAACCTTAGGGGCACCTGGGTGGCTCAGTGGGTTAAAGCCTCTGCCTTCAGCTCAGGTCATGATCCCATGGTGCTGGGATTAAGTCCCACATTGGGCTCTCCACTCTTTGGGGGGCCTGCTTCCTCCTCTCTCTCTGCCTGCCTCTCTACTTGTGATCTCTGTCTGTCAAATAAATAAATAAAATCTTTAAAAAAAAAAAGTTCGGGCGCCTGGGTGGCTCAGTGGTTAAAGCCTCTGCCTTCGGCTCAGGTCGTGATCTCAGGGTCCTGGGATCGAGTCCCGCGTCGGGCTCTCTGCTCAGCAGGGAGCCTGCCTCCTCCTCCTGTTTCTCTCTGCCTGCCTCTCTGCCTACTTGTGATCTGTCTGTCAAATAAATAAATAAAATATATATTAAAAAAAAAAAGTTAAACCTTAAAGCATATATCACATACATATGTGAACTGTATTTTTTTTCTTGGCTTACTCTTACTATAAGCTCCATGACAGGAAGAACACATGAATTTCCACAATAAGATAACCATATATTCCAGTTTACACCTGTCACACCAACATTATTAATGGCATTCCTTTTCACTCTCAAAAGACTCTTAGAATTGGACAATAAATTATATGGTAACACTATAAAAACAGGAGCAGAATTAATTTTGTATAAATAAAGTTATAATAAAAAAAGAATACAGTTATGACCAACTACAGTTATAAACAAGAGGGAATAAAAACAACAGAATTTAGATTCTAAAGAATTCTAAATTCCAAGAAATTCGATCTAACATATAGTGGAAAGAAAATCTTTCTCTGATTCTAGTCGCAAAAGGACTCTAGAAATGTCTACATTTCCCCATCTCAGGATGAGTGGAATGTGGTAAGGCAGTGATGTTCAACCAGTGAGAGCATCAGTGACCTGGAAAAGACTTGTGCAAAGACCTTATTATACCCCTTCAGTCTTCCTCTCATTTGTGTGGTGTGTAAGTGAAGAAATAGAACAGGGGTTTTGTTTCTGTTTTTGTTTTTTAACGGCAGAACAATCTTCGGGACAGAAATAATAAAATGCTAATCCAAGGACTGCCTCAAGATCAAATATAGTCTACAAGTTTTATACATGATTTACAGTTTTTGGTAAATACAACATGGCCTTCCTAACTCTCTTTTATGTTTCTGAAATTAATTTCTTTAAAGAAATCAATAAATTCCTGCTCCATGCACTATGTTTATTGTGTCTGTAAGTATGACACTTCCAGTATCACTGATGTTTTGTCATCTCAAGCAGTCACCCCTAAAGCCAAAGAGGATGATAAGATAAAAAGACAAATGTAGAGCAACAAGAATTTTACCTAGACAAGTTCCACTGCTCAGCCAGAACCGTACTCCCAATTTCTTTAATGTTTTGGCTGCCAGTTGCAATAATTCTTTTGCGTTCTTCCGAAAGGCCATAGCTTCCACAGTGTTATCATCAAGGTACTGCTACAGATATAACAAATAGTCAGTTATTACAGCCATTTCTAAATTGCTAGAAATATTTCCATGACATCTAAATTAAATCGGACATCTAATTAAATCTAAATTAACCCCATAGTATGCATATTTTTCTATTATTAAAAAAATCAAGTTTCAGAGTTTCTTGTTAGTTGCCTATCTATGAGACTACAGGAGCAGATTCTAGAAAAGACAAGTTAAAGGGGAAGGAGTATAACCAGAATTCCCAAAGGATGAGACTTACACGTTTATGAACTCCCTTCACATCACAATTTATCAGATAGGACAGTTAGAAGAAAACTAATTCTGAGAGCTATAAGCATATCTGAACAAAATGAATTGTGCCATTTTCATGATTCACTGATCCAATTGGTCTTTAGAGACTATAGAGTATAAAAGAAAGAGCCTGGGATTTTGATTCAGATTATCTGTGTTCAAGTTTAGCCCCGCTTCTTATTAGCTGTGATGCTGGGCGTATCACCTCAGAAGAACATAAACTCCATGAGGAAAGTGACTTCATTTTATCACTTTATCTCGAGTGCCCAGAGCAGCACCTGAACATCTGCTGAATGAGTGAGAGAATGAAAGAACAAACCTCTCTTAGATACGATTTCCTCATCAGTCACTAAAGGACAATAATTACACTTTGTAGGACTGCTGTGGAGAGTTAATGACACAATGGATGACAGAAAAATGGCTCATAAATTATGAAGTTCTATACAAATATTATTATTATCATTTACCTAGTCATGCTTTTCTAATTTTCTTCATTTTTAGGGTAGTCTACACTGAGGAAAACACTATAAATTTAGTGATGCTTCTCTGTCTATGACTCAAAATCTAAACTTCTTCACATGGCAGACAAGGACATTTGCATTCTGGTCCCTGACTACTAGTCCGGTCTCATCACCACCGTCCTCACACTTTAGAACACAGCAATAACTTCTACCTCCCCAAATATTCCACAACTTTTCAAGCCTCTGTGCCTTTATACATGTTTCCTTTATCTGGAGTGCTCTTGACTAACAAAATCTTTGAGTTCTACCTTCCGAAAAACATTCCCTAATTTTCCTATGAGGATGTATTTATTCTGCCAGTGCTACCCTCCCAGTGCTACCCTTTTGTTCAGCAAAGAATAATATTTGTCCTAGATATAGACAAAGATGAAGGAATCTAATGAGTTTATAAGTTACCACTTATATACACTTCCACTATAATTCTTTTTTTTAAATTCACATTGTTGGTTTTACTTATGTTTCCTCCACTAGGTTGTAAAGATGGTTCCTTGAAGGCATGTACTAAACCTCCCCAACACTGTATGTATAAATCTGGAATGGTGCCTAATACATAATATGTGAGTATCACATAGTGATAAATGGGTAAATGAATAGATGACTAAGCCCCTCCTGCATTAGGCCCTGTCTGTAATATCCTATAATACCCTGTCATTCTTTTACAATATAGCAGGAGAAAATACAGTTGCTGGAGAGACTCTAAGGATCTTAAGAAAAAAGTATCCCTAGGAAGAAAGTGGGATCCCAGAAGATAAGTTTCCTTCTCTCTAGAACATACAAATCATACAGGATGCCTTCGACATGAAAACATTCTCAAAGCCATAGCTTCTCTTGGAACACAGGGTTGGAATGGGAGGCAAATGTTCTTATCCTGGGTGTGGTGGAAAACACTGAAGATGCAGGATTTAGTCTATGCTCAGCCAATAATGACTGTGTAGCCTACTGAAACCTCTTTTTTTTTTTTTTAAATTGTCAAAGGCAAATACTTGCCTTATTTCAAAGAGTAACTGAAAGGGTCAAATTAAGTAACAGACATGAAAACTCAGTGCTTGATAAAAATATTACTCTGATAGTTATGTCCTATTGAGCCTGCCCCTGCATGGACATACTCTCACCTCTGATATACCTTTCGTAGCATGACACTCCCAGAAATTCCATTTCTTAGAATTGACTGCACATATATTAAAGTGTATACACCTATAAACCTTTTGCATCTGTTAGGGATTTTTTAAATTGTAGTATGAATGTTTTTTCCTACTTAAAAATGTCTTATATCAATCTTGGGCTTATCACACTTCTAGAAAAGGACAAAATCCTAATTTAAACATCATGTCCATTTGATCTTTGCTATTCAGGTAACCTTTCCCCAGACTTCCCCCAAAATATAGACTGAAAAAAACGTGACAGAAGGTACCCATTTATTTTATAGATGAGGAATTAAGACTTAGAAAATTTTCCAAAGTCTCAGGAAAAAATTAGTAGAAGAAGAAGGATAATATAGCTCTGTAGATATCCCTAGGCCAGGTGTCCAGATAGTTCCATATTTCCCTCTGGTTTTTCACTGGAATTCATCAGACTGGACTGAAAGTCATTAATTATTTTTTCATGGTTACTGCTAAAACAAAACCAAGTTCAAGAAAATGTATGTTATCCTACTTCTAAACTTCTTGGTAGACTGAGAAAATAAAAGTAAATGAAGTAAGCCAAGAGAGCATTTCTTCTCCCTTCCTGAACTGTCCAATACTAGAACTATTAGGTAAGGCAGAGCAAGAAAAGGCACATGGGTGGCCTGGTATGGCTATCAGAGCCTGAGCAAGTGGTGAGGAAATCCACATGGAGAGGACACCCCCTCCATATCCAGTGTGGGGAGTCAGAGCCTGAGCAGTTTGAGAAGTGTGTCCACAGATGGGGGCACCCCAGAGGGAGATTAGCAACATTCAAGCAGAGTGAGGAGAGCAACCATAGGGGAGAGGGGACAGAAGCAATGACAGGAGACTGAACAAATAAGCAAATATATTAATAATAATAGGAGTCAAGTTTCTCATTGTTTGAGAAGGGAGTCATAAATAAGGAAACAAACCCTATGCTATTTAACTGAAACATAAAGTAGTTGGGACTCGCTATATCACGGTGAATTCATGAATCTTGACAGATAGACAGATACAGAAATAAATACACACACGCATACACACTGTCACTGAGAGGGCCTGTGTGCAACAAAAACCGCGTAGCAATGAGCACACCTGGCATCCAAACCTTGGCTTCTAAAAGGAACCAGGATTTGGAGAAATGGCTGATTCCAGTGTTGTTGCAGGGAAATTACAAGATGGACCTAGAGCATCTTGCTCCAAAGAGCAAAAAAGTACTCAAAAAATAATGAAGACATGTTAAAAAGACACGGAAACCATCATGAAGAAATTCCCACTGGCCAAACAGGGAACAATTTGAGGATCAAAATAAATAATGAAAATAAAGGGGGCGCCTGGCTGGCTCAGTCAAAAGGGCACGTGACTCTTGATCTCCAGGTTGTGAGTTCAACCCCCACACTGGGTGTAGAGATTACTAAAAAAAAATATGAATTAATTAATTTTTTAAAAAGAAAGTAATGGACTATAACCTATTGAATAAAATAGGAAACTCGAGTTCAGACTGATGTAAACAAATACACTGAAAGATTGATAAGGATATGGACAATTACTTTTTTTCTTTTTTTAAGATTTTATTTGTTTATATGACAGACAGCGATCACAAGTAGGCAGAGAGGCAGGCAGAGAGAGAGGGGGAAGCAGGCTCCCTGCCGAGCAGAGAGCCCGATGTCGGACTCGATCCCAAGACTCCGGGATCATGACCTGAGCCGAAGGCAGAGGCTTTAGCCCACTGAGCCACCCAGGCACCCCTATGGACAATTACTTTTTTTTTTTTTTTAAAGATTTTATTTATTTATTTGACAGACAGAGATCACAAGTAGGCAGAGAGGCAGGCAGAGAGAGAGAGGAGGAAGCAAGCTCCCCGCCGAGCAGAGAGCCCGATGCGGGGCTCGATCCCAGGACTCTGGGATCATGACCTGAGCCGAAGGCAGAGGCTTTAACCCACTGAGCCACCCAGGCGCCCCTGGACAATTACTTTTTAAGAGACAGAGAACACATGCAGTAGTAGGGAGGTGAGAAGGAGTCGAGGGAGAATCTTAAGCAGGCTCCATGCCCAGTGCAGAGTCTGATGTGGGGCCCAACCTCATGACCCTGAGATCATGACCTGAACTGAAATCAAGAGTCCGACACTTCACTAACTGGGCTACCCAGGAGCCTGAGGATATTGACAACATTTACCTGGTTTTAAAGTACCTCCAGGGCACTAGATGGCTCAGTCGGTTGAGCTTCTGACTGATTCCGGCTCCTGTCATGATCTCATGGTTCAAGAGATGGAGCTCCATGACTGGCTCCACACTCAACAGGGAGCCTACTTAGGATTCTTTCTCTCTCCCTCTGCCCCTCCCCACCCCTCGTGCATGCGTTCTCTCTCTCTAATAAATAAACCTTTAAAAAAGATTCATACCAAATTTTTATTAGTTACAAAGGAAAAAACAGAAACTTCACAGGGGTGAAGCTAGAGATACCACTTTAATCAAGTGCTCAGTGTGAATATCAACAGTAACAGGACAAATCACAACCATGCAGCACCTGACAGGATGTAATGAGAAGAGCACAAAATCACTTCTGCATTATTCCTACTACAGGTATATTACCTGAGGAAAACCCAGACAAACCTCAAAGAAGGGACAATCTACAAAATATCTGGCCTGTAATCCTCAAAAGCATCCAAGTCATAAAAGTTTAAAAAAGAACTATGAAATCATTAAGGACAAGAGGAAACTACGGAGAGAAAAATTAAATACAGGGGGCCCCTGTGGCTCAGTCGGTTAAGTGACTGACTCGATTTCCGCTCAGGTCATGATCTCAGGGCCTTGAGATCAAGCACTGGGTCAGGCTCCACGCTCAGTGCAGTGTCTGCTTGGGATTCTTCTTCTCCCTCTCCCTTTACCAACCCCCCCTCCACACTCACATTCTCTTTCTCTCCCTAAAATAAATAAAATCTTTTTAAAAAGAGAGGGAAAAAGAAAGATTAAATACAACACGTGATTCTAAATTCTTTTATCATATTTTACTCTGAATGGATCCTTTTATTACATAGTAAAACCTGAATGGGATTAAATGGTGATAATCTATGTGTTAACTTCCTGATTTTTTTATTAAGACAATGTAGGCCAATGTTCTTGTTTTGGGAAAATACTAAATTATTTGAGGTTGTAGGATACATAGTCACCAACTTACTCCCAAATGGTTCAGGAAAAAGTTATTTGTATTTTATTTATAACTTTCCTGAAAGTTTGAGAATGTTTCCCAAAGAAAAAAATATTAGATATAGAAAGAAGGTTGTTTTATGAGCTCTAATAGATTAGATCATTGCTTGTTATACACGAGGCATTATATTTCAGATTGTTTGGCGCCATCAAGTGTTCAAAGTTATGTATACTCACTTCAATTTGAAAACTGACCCTCCTGGTACTTTTGAATGATGATGAAGAATGAAACATTTTAAATAATAAGAATAAAGAGTTATCAACCTAATTAGGCACCCCACATTAGTAATACCAATACAACAGCAAAAGAGAAAAGCAAATTAGAAATCACAAGTATACCTTACTGTAAGGGAAGGACACACAAGATCCTACTATAAATATAAACCTCCAATCAGGATTATATCTCCAGTACTTTACACCAACAGGTACTTTACACCAAAACTATGAGGCTATATATGATAAGCCCTCTGAGCATCTGTCATTCATATCCTTTACTCAAATGCTCATTGAGTGTTTGAGAATTTAAAAAGCAAGAATGAAAATATAGAACTTTAAAAATTTGATACTATCCTAATAATGTATCAATATTCTGAAGCATTTTACATTTTATACTGCTTTCTCACAAAGATCAACAAAATGAGTCTGGGAAAATGCTTGCTAGGTAATGGAGTAGTCCTAATAAGTGTCATTTAAAAAAAAAAATCATTTGATTCAGATGAGCTGCTTATTCTCCATACATTTTTCCATAATTCTAGGATCCTTTCTTTGTGCCAGATGCTGTTCTAGATACTGGGGTTACAGAAGTGAATAAAGAAGATGCCTGTCATCAGTAAGTTCATGGGACAAGACATACATTCACAATTCACTGTGATAAGAGCTCTGACAGAGGTGGCAACCAAAAAAAAGCCCCTTAAGGCCCAAAGAGTGAGTGGTCAAGTCCAAGCACCAAGCTGCATCACCTCTGTGTCCTGTTATTACTGTGTGATAAATGAGGATCAGCACTTGTCTATGAGTCGGCCCATCCATAGATGCAGTTTGCCAGCTTTTCATCCATGAGGTTGCCTGGGGTACATTTCACAGCTCCACAATTACAGATTTAAGGGGACGGGGGTGGGAGGACCCACCAGGAAGGCGGGCAGGCATCAGTCCAGGGGAATAACAAAGCCTACCAGAAAAACCTTGCATTTGCGGGTGTGGGGCACTTGGCCAGTAATGATACAGCTGGTACTTCATTTCCCCATTCCACTCCTGTCCATGTGTCTACAGGTTTTTTTGGAAGGGAATCCCAGAAAATAAAGGGCAAGTGGAAGGATTAGGGTACTAAAACCCCTCCATAAATCTGTTTTTATTGTATTTCTGTTTCAAGTCGTATCTTAGAGCTGAACCTTCACGTCTCTCAAAATCATCTTTACATTACAAGGTCAGCAGAGTGCCTGGGAAACAGGCTTTCAATAAATGTTTATTGGATTGAAAGCTACAGCAGCAGAATAAAGTAAAGTTCAAAGAGCACTGGTCTCTGTGTAGCATTTACCTTCAAAAATCTTCATAAATACAAAAAAATTCATATTCATTGCCAGCCCTAAGAGAAAAACTGTATATTTTCCATGAAATATTTTCCACATCTACATGCTCTATCTTCTACAGCAGCTGCTTCCTAACTGGGGTGGCTTCAAGAACACACCACCTTTGATAAAGCAAATGGCATATCCCAACTGAAAGCAGAGCCAGTGCCAAACCTACCAAAAGTCTATCCAAATAAAACAATGGCTCCATAAACATTGCACCGTTCAAATAGGGAAGAAATCATTTTTTAAGGTTAATGTTTAATCTACTTTAGGGCACCTGGGTGGCTCAGTTGGTGAAGCGCCTGCCTTCAACTCCAATCATGATCCTGCAATCCTGGATCAAGTCCTGCATTGGGCTCCCTGCTCAGTGGGAAGTCTGCTTCTCCCTCTGCCTTCCCCCTGCTCATGCTCACACTCAATCTCTCTCGCAAAAATAAATAAATAAATAAATAAATAAATAAATAAATCTTTAATCTACTTAAAAAATTAAAATAAAACAATCTAGAAGAAAACAGATGAATCAAAAAGATGCTTTCTTACTGATTTTCCCTAAGTCCCTTCATTTCCTACCCCTCCCCAGAAATATTAAAAATAAACACATGTCCTTTAATTTAAAAAGTACATTTGATTATTTCTAACCTGAAAGAATGCTCGAGCTTCTTTATACCTACACTCAATAAACCTAGAGTGTGGTATTTCTTCTAGAAAGCGCACTGGATCTTTTGGGATGAAAACTTCTAGTCCATCAACAGTAATTTGTTGCAACTCTGGCCTGAAAACAAAAGTTAAGATTTATTACAAGGACTTAACCCAGAAAACTGGCAGCCTCTTCAAAATATACAACATAAGTAAAACAGCTAAACATCAAGCACATTGTCCTCAGTTAACCTCTGATACCACTTTTTAAGATCTACTCTCTCAGCAACTTTCAAATATATAATACAGCACTGATAGCTATAGTCACCAAACTGCACATTACACCCCCAGAACTTATTTATCTTATAAATGGAAGTTTGTACCTTTTGACCATGTTTACTATGTAAGCATATATCCACGAACATATTTTCTCCTCTGCTTGCACTTTTTATAATCAAGAGCTGTACTATTTTACATCTTGCTTCTGTCACTCAATATTGTAGAATTCATCTTTATTGTTACAGAGAGCACTAATTCATTTATTCCATGCTCTACAATATTTCATTGTATGAATATACAATGTTTGACGGCATTGAGAACAATGTTGTTATGAACATTCTTGTATCTATTTCCTGATGCACATGTCCATGAATTTCTTCCCATTGAACATTAAGATTTCAAAACTGGTTTGTGTGAATTACATATTAGATTTAATTACGAAGTGTAAACAAAGAGTAAGAATTCATGACTGAACAATAGAGGTTTCAGAACACCTATTTAGATCCTGAATTTACCTGTCAAAAGCTCCAGGATAACGACCAAACTGTAACTTTCGAAAACGAACAAATTTTCTATCCATATGTCCTTTGAGTCGTAAATGGCCATGCCAGAGGTAGTTACCACTCCTCTCATGAAAGACCACCAAGTGGATGGCATGACTGGCCAATCTGCAGATATAGTGCAGGGGAATTTCAGTTCCAGAAAGTGAGTCTATCCCATCTAGCCGGGGATCTTTGCTCTCAATCTTTAGGCATTGAAATCCCATATTTTCAGCTATCCGAAACCAGCCTTCCTAAAAACCAAAGAAACATCGAGTTTAAATATTAACCAAATACTGGTAGCAAAACTAAAGTGATTTTTACACCAAATTAAGCCACACATATTTTTTGCTCATCTGCTCTTTGCCCAAAGATTTCAAACTAAGAGTGGTAAGGGGGAAGGTGGTGGTGGGAGAATAAAAGAGAATACCAAAAAGGGAAACTACATAGCTTGATGGACATGTTCAAAGACTCCCTTTATGCAAATTAATACCATTTTCTTCCTTGGAAAGAAAATGCTCAGGTTATTGTTCTCTGATTAAGATCTATAAAGTAAATGTTAATATAAGGATAACACTTAAAATAAAACTTGTAATTTTCAATTTAACTTCTATTAATCTCTTATCTTCAAAAGTGCTTCATGGGGTGCCTGGGTGGCTCAGTCATTAAGCATCTGCTTTTGGCTCAGGTAGTGATCCCAGGGTTCTGGGACTGAGCCCCACAACAGGCTCCCTGCTGGGCAGAGGGCCTGCTTCTCCCTCTCCCACCCCCTGCTTGTGTGCCCTCTCTTGCTGTGTCTCCCCCTGTCAAATAAATAAATAAAACCTTTTAAAAAAAATAAAATGCTTCAAAAAAGTACTTTCATCTCATAGTTTATATCCCAGCACCTTCAACTGCTACTTCAATAGAAGTCCACCATAATGCAAATCATTAGAAAATAGACATACTATGAAACAAAATGTATTTTCCAACATTATTAGTTATGGTATAAATCTCATGTAACAAGATTAATTTATACTGTTGATTTTTAGTTCTAATATCAACAGCCAGTGCTATGGATGATTAAATAGTATTAATTACTGAGAACACCTGAGATTCTAACAGGACTTTAAAATTTCCAAGCAACTTTTATAACCATTATGGTATTTACACATGACATCCATCTTACAAAATAAGTAGCACAGGTACGCTAGATTAAAAAGCAGACTCACAGAAGTCTAAAAAACCGAAATTAATAAAAGGCAAAGCCAGTGCCAGTATTTAGGTCTTATCCAACCAAATCTAAGGTTCTTTTCATTTTTTTCTTTTTTTAAGATTTTATTTATTTGAGAGAGAGACAGAGAGCTCACAAGCAGGAGGGAGAAGCAGGCTTTCTGTGGAGTAAGGAACCTGATGTGGGGCTCAATCCAGGGACTCGGGATCATGACCTGAACCGAAGGCAGATGCTTTACTGACTGAGACACTCAGGAAGCCCATGGTTCTTTATATTCTTAATACTACCTCTTTAGTCTATATTTATATAATGTACATGAAGCTCTTTCACATTAATTATCTCATCTGATGTCCCTAGAAACTATTTGAAGTTAGAAAGGAAAATATCAATGTATCTAGTCTACAGTTAAGGAAAACAAAGCCCTAAGTGGTAATATCAGACTTTAATGTTATTAAATTATGGAGCTGTGTTTGTAAGTTTATCTTAAAAGCCACAGCATTCATAAACATTCTCCAAGAGTACATTATTCACATCACTTACTGCTTTTGAATGTTGTCATTTGGATTAGGTGTAACCTCGTCCATGCTCTCATTTCATTACAGACACAGACCTCCATCATAGTATTGATTATACTGCTTTTTAATTGTTTGTTTAAACTCCATCAATAAACTGCAAGTTCCTCAACCATAGGAATCAAGAGTGACTAGTACCCAGCAGGTCAAAATAGATATTTGTTGTTACTGTTGTTCATACTGTTACATGTGAGAAAGTGTTAATTCTGGTAGAGAAAATGTCTTCTCCTTTATGGATATAGAGTTAAACTGTGTCTTGGTCAAAAGAATGTGGAGGAGGGGTGCCTGGGTGGCTCAGTGGTTTAAAGCCTCTGCCTTCGGCTCAGGTCATGATCCCAGGGTCTTGGGATCGAGCCCCACACCGGGCTCTCTGCTCAGCAGGGAGCCTACTTCCCCCATCTCTGCCTGCCTCTCTGCCTACTTGTGATCTCTGTCAAATAAATAAATAAAATATTAAAAAAAAAAAAAAAGAATGTGGAGGAAATACCACATAATACTTCTAGGCCTGGCCTTACAATCTTCATAAAATCTTCCACATTTTCCCCCTTCTGACCTTTTGCTTCTTCCACCAGCTACGGTCCTACTGGTTTTTGCCAATTGTGGCACATTCTCTTTCTTCTAAAGGACGGGTTTTCAAAGCAAGTGGTACTGTATCCAAGAGACATTTAAAAATGTGGACGGGGTGACTGGGTGGCTCAGTTGGTTAAGCGTCTGCCTTTGACTCAGGTCATGATCCCAGGGTCCCGGGATGGAGCCCATGCCAGACTCCGTGCTCAGGGGAGTCTGCTTTTCCCTCTCCCTCTGCCCCTCCCCCTACTCATACTCCCCCCCTCTCTCTCTCACTCTCTCTCAAATAAATAAATAAAGTCTTTAAAAATAATCTGAGGGCATATTTTTGATTATCTTAATGATTGAGGAACACACCACTGGCATTTGGAGGCCTGACATCCTACAATCTAAAATACGAAAATCTGCCCCGTGTCCTGAATAATCTCAAATGTTCTATCAGGGAGTCCTGCAGTGAAAACCTTGTTCATAATGATCTGAGTCTCTATTTCCCAGGATTACAATAGCTATGTTAAAGGAGAGATAATTTTACTCTTCTGTTGTTGGAAACTTGTTTACTATTTTAAAAAAACCACATTACTGGACGCCTGGGTGGCTCAGTGGGTTAGGCCGCTGCCTTCAGCTCAGGTCATGATCTCGGGGTCCTGGGATCGAGTCCCGCATCGGGCTCTCTGCTCAGCGGGAAGCCTGCTTCCCTCTCTCTCTCTCTGCCTGCCTCTCTGTCTATTTGTGATCTCTCTCTGTCAAATAAATAAATAAAATCTTAAAAAAAAAATAAAAAAAAATAAAAAATAAAAAAACCACATTACTAACAATATCATTCATAATGAGTCTATATTTGATGCTAATTATATTTAATAATCCTACTGAAAAGTGCAACTATCTGAATTACTTCATTATGCTTTCTAATGTAGTCATGACTGAATATTTACATGCTGAAATAAACATCTCCTTTTATTTTTAAATTATATTATAGTTAAGACCTTATATTGACTTAGTGGATTATGTATGTAGACAGGTTATAATTTCTATGAACTTTATTTTTTACTTTTTAAACTGGCTTAACCCCACACTAATTTGTAAAAGACACATTCTATTATCTGAAAGCCAATCATCTTACCTCATTCTTCCACAGATGATACTGTAGTGCAAACGCAGTAAAGTCCCTTGGAACACAGAAAAACTTGCATTCTGAAGTGGAGCCATGAGAAGTATTTTTTACTTGTTCAAAGTCTTTATTAATCAATTCCAGAATCAAAGGATCAATAAGGAACACTGGTACATTTTGGCTGGATGTTAGCATAATAAATTTTTTAACTGCACGCTGTTTGAGAGGAAAAGAATCCCTTTAAATCTTCTAAACCAATACAATAATCCATCTTATTAAATTTTTATTAATTTTATAAGAACATATACATATATACATTTCACTCAGTAGATTTATAATACAAGGTAAAATATGCTATAACAAAAATATATGCAACACACTATTAGAGAACAGTAAGCTACTAACTAATTATACATCAAAAGAGTAACAAAATCTTTACAGGGGAAGTCGTATCCCAAATGAAAACTTTGGGCTTAAAAATTATTCCCTTGGTATTAACTAAATCTTTTTGAGCCAAAGTGGGAGAGGAAATACCACACGTCAGTTTTTAAAAACTGGTCATGTCAACCTTTTCAAAATCAAAAATCAATTGTATGTGCCACTTTTCTTCATATTTGTAATACTGCTTACTAATCTTTCTAAGCAAAAGATTCAAACTAAAATATATTGCCTGCTTTACTATTCCCATATATAGTTTGATTTTCAAGTAATAATGTAATATTTTAAAATATAATTCTTTAAGGCAGTAAGTAGAGCCCCCTACTGAAAACACAAATTTTAGATAAAATGGACAAATTTCTTTAAAGACACAATTAACAAATTACCACAAGATGAAATGGAAAATCTGAATTGCCCTATACCAATTACCAAAATTGAATTTAAACATATATATTTGTTATATATTCATATATATTTGTTATACATATATATGTAACATATATATTTATTATATATCAAAATAATAGTAACAACAAGAAAAAACTCCAGACTCAGATGGTTCCCAGGTAAATTCTATCAAAGATTTAAGGAATAATACCAGTTCTACAAAACTTATAAGAAAACTGAGCAGGGAGGTATCCTTCCTAACTCATTTTTACAAGGCCAGTGCAATCCTAATACCAAAACCTAACAAAAATATTACAAAAAAGAAAATTATAAACCATTATCAAGATACTAGAAAATCAATTCCAGTAGTTTAAAAAAAAAAGACCAAAAAAGTAAATACCCTGACCAAGCAGGATTTATCCCAGAAATGAAAGGTTAAAAAAAAAAAAGAAAGAAAGAAATGAAAGGTTAGTTTAGCATTTGAAAATCAATCAATGAAATTTACCATATCAACAGAATAAAGGGGGAAAATCCTATGATAATTTTAATACAGAAAAAGCATTTGACAAAATTCAATACCTAGTCATGATTAAAACCTCTCAGCAAACCAGGACTAGAATTCTTCCTCAATTTGATAAAGAGTATAAACAAAAAAATCTGCTTTTGAGTTGTAGGAGCTCTTTATATATTCTTGATACACTGTCTTTTGTCAGATACATGTTTTGCAAATACTTCCTCCTCCATGGCATTTCTATTCGTTTTCTTAATGGAGTCTTTTTTTTTAATTTTTATTTTTTATTAACATATAATGTACTATTAGCCCCAGGGGTACAGGCCTGTGAATCACCAGGTTTACACACTTCACAGCACTCACCATAGCACATACCCTCCCCAATGTCCATAACCCAACCACCCTCTCCCTTCCCCCAGCCCAGCAAACCTGTTTGTTTTGTGAGATTAAGAGTCTCATAAGGTTTGTCTCGCTCCCGATCCCATCTTGTTTCACTTTTTTTAATGGAGTCTTTTGAGGATTAGAAGTCTTAAATTGTGAGATTCTAATTTATCTTTTTTTTTTCCTCTCTCTTATGGTTGTTGCTGTCTGTGCTTTACACCAGGAAAATAAAATTAATAATTTTGAAAGAAAGATGATGAAGTGACAGACACCAGCACATATAAGGTGCTTCATAAATGTTTGTTGAATGAATCTCTTTCAGCTTAGTGTTAAATACAAACATGATGAACACATTTATGGCTTCATTACAATTATTGATATAAATATAGATTAGGGCAGGGTAGAGAAGAGATTCTCTAAATCACCTTCTAAATATGCCTTCCAGGTTGTTATCAATGCAATTATCAATGCTCCTTGGAAACAGATGTCCAACTGATTCTAAATCCAATTAATTCTAAATAAACATGACTATTACCATCTGACCTTCATTTTGTTTGTAAGAAAGAAAAATGTCTTGTTGAAAAACAGGGTATAGGGGTGCCTGGGTGGCTCAGTGGGTTAAAGCCTCTGCCTTCAGCTCAGGTCATGATCCCAGGGTACTGGGATCGAGCACCGCATCGGGCTCTCTGCTTGGCGGGGAGCCTGCTTCCTCCTCTCTCTCTGCCTGCCTCTCTGCCTACTCGTGTCTGTCAAATAAATAAATAAAATCTTTAAAAAAAAAAAAAAAAAAGAAAAACAGGGTATACTAAGACTGTAATAGCCTAGTCATCTAACAGGGCTTGGTGGGACTTGTTCTTGTGAAAGGCTAGCTCCTAATAATCATTTTCTTTCCTAAGTGCTCTCATCTGTTTATTAACTTATTCTAGAATTTTATCAGGGCTCAGTCACACTTACTGATCAAATTTCACTTTTCCTTCTTTTTTTTTTTTTAAGATTTTATTTATTTATTTGACAGAGAAAGAGATCACAAGTAGGCAGAGAGGCAGGCAGAGAAAGAGGGGGAAGCAGGCTCCCCGCTGAGCAGAGAACCCTATGCGGGACTTGATCCCAGGACCCTGAGATCATGACCTGAGCCGAAGGCAGAGGCTTTAACCCACTGAGCCACCCAGGCGCCCCTCCTTCTTTTTAAAATACTATTACAAAAGTATTTTAGTACTTCTCCCCTTCCTCATGATTCTGCAATTACAAACACTGATTCTTAGTACCATGCAATGTAATTAACAAGGAGAACTTACTGAATGTAGTGAGCCATTCTTTAATTTTTGCCCACTTATCTTGGAAGTAAACTCTTTTAAAAAAATCCATTATTGGGGCGCCTGGGTGGCTCAGTGGGTTAAGCCTCTGCCTTCGGCTCAGGTCATGGTCTCAGGGTCCTGGGATCGAGCCCCGCATCGGGCTCTCTGCTCAGCAGGGAGCCTGCTTCCTCCTCTCTCTCTGCCTGCCTCTCTGCCTACTTGTGATCTCTGTCTGTCAAATAAATGGATAAAATTTAAAAAAAAAATCCATTATTTTCTCCCACCTCAGGATCTTTCTCTGAATGAAAAAGATGGGGCTTCCTGTTCTACTATTTTTAATAAATTAGAAATTCATCTTGATACTTCATAGTTGAGGAGCCTGGTATAGGATATCCCAGACTTTACTTTTTAGATAATAGTTCAAAACCAATTGGTGCCAGCAACAAGCTAGAATTATTACGCTTTCACTGCTGCTTCATGATTTTGAAAATCTACTTTCTATCTTAGAAGCTTTGTGTCTCTGGTTAAAGAGATGCCAAAGACTGAAGTCATCCACAAGAAATAACTAGTCACATCCAAAATGTATACTAACAGGAGAAATGTAACTTTTTATTACTAACTAGTAACCTAGCATCCTTTTTCATTCTAAATTTGCCTAGAAAAAAGGTAAGAAAACACATTTTAATAAATGTATAAGTTCTGAAATTTATAAATCAAAACAGGGATATATCGTATACACTGCTAGTTTTCCTTATCTTAAAAAGGAAACCAGTTGTGGGGCGCCTGGGTGGCTCAGTGGCTCTGCCTTCAGCTCAGGTCATGATCCCAGGGTCCTAGGATCAAGCCCCGCATTGGGCTCTCTACTCAGCAGGGAGCCTGCTTCCCCCTCTCTCTCTGCCTGCTGCTCTGCCTACTTGTGATCTCTGTCAAATAAATAAATAAAATCTTAAAAAAAAAAAAAAAAGTAAACCAGTTGAATTGATTTTTATTCCTAATCATCATTGTCCCTTATTCATAGTTCAATTCTGATTCATACATTTTTTCATTTGGGGATGTACCATAGTTAAGTGAGTGAGAATTTTGAAAGCAAATACTTACAATCTAGATTCAGTCAGTTATTAGTCAACTAACCCTAAACCCTTCAGTGAACTGAGGATAACAGTATGTACTGACTTCATAAAGTGTCCATAAGGACTAAATGAGATACTGCATGTAACGCACTTGAACGAGGGCCTACCTCTTCCTCTCGACCACCTACTCCCACTGCCCACCAAGACAGCTATTACCATTGTCATCATTCAACAAATACTTATCAAGTACATAGACAAATGAACCAAATGAACATTGTAAATGAGGAATTTCACTCATGCTTATCATACATACCCACTGTGTGCTATCAAATCCAAGTCGGCTTCCTTTAGATTTTGATAAACCAGCTCCATTCTAAGAAGATAACAAAATTTTTAGTAAATTTAAAGCTATCTTTCTCTGACTTATTTGGCTTGGCATGCAGAGAACGAACTAGTGGCGGGTACACAGGGGAGGAGTGGGAGGATGGGAAAAATGAGTGAAGGGGAGTGGGAGATACAGGCTTCTAGTTATGGTGTGAAAGGGACACATGGGGAATACAATCAAGGGAATACAATCAATGGTACTCTAATAGTGTTGCATGACAGATGGTAGTTACACTTGTGGTGAGCACAGCATAACTGCTGAATTGCTATGTTGTAGTAATGTACTAACTAATGTACTAACTGCTGAGTCACTGTGTTGAAACTAATGTAGCACTATGTGTCAACTATACTCCACTAAAAAAGAAAAATTTTTTTAAATATTCAGGTCTAGAGAATCAGAAGAAAGCACTATGAGTTTTCATCTGATAAGCCCCAAGATACTTTGAAAGTATTTTGAAAAAGAATGTCTGATGGTCTAGAGACAATAGGAAGAATGTTTCAAGCCCTAAGAAGATCCAGGGAAGTTTCTTATGTCTTGAATATGTTCTTTACCTAGAAGATACAGATGGGAGGATGCTGAAGAACAGTAAGAATAGCCTTACCCTAAAAAATGAAAAATACCCCAATTTCCTAAAAAGGAGACTCATCTCCCCACTACACTGCATATCTAAGGGCAGGGACCAAGTCCAATCCTTCTCTGTATTGACAGTGACTAGTGTAGTGCTTAGTAATGAGTAAATGTTTAATGATGGTTTGTTAAACGCAGGGAAGGAAGCAGGAAAAGAGAGATATACTGAGTTATTAAGGTAAAGCCAGAACTGGTCTCTCATAAGCTCTGCAACTTAGACAATAACATTTTCATACCAAGGGATATTTGAGAATAAAGCACTAAGAGACAGCTTTGTAATCTTCATCCTTAAAAAGAGACTGGAAACTCTGTAACATAGCCGTTGTTGCTCACCATAGCTCTCCATTAGTAGATGAGACTGAATTTCCGAGCTGTTTTCTTTCTCTGCTGGATCATTTCCATCAATATATAAATATGATAGTATTTCTCCTATCTTAAAACAAACAACCCACCCCTCTTTTCCCAACTAACAATTTTCTGTCCTCCTTCAAGCAAAACCCTTAATGGGCTATCTGTTCTCATTGCCTCCAAGTCCACTCCTCATGTGCTCACAAGATTAAATTCACTCCTCCAAGTATTCATCAAGATCACCAATGACCTCCATGTTGCTAAACCCAATGATCAATTATTATTATTATTACCCTTATCTTTATTGATCTATCAAGAATTGTAGATCACATCTGTCTCACTCAAACACTTCAGTTGGTTGGCTCTCAGAATCCTGACTACCTCTGGTTTTCCTGCTCTTTCTTTCTGGCTGCTCCTTCTTAACTCTCATTTGTTAGGTCTTCCACTTCTGATGTATTGGAGGGTCCCAAAACTCACACCAGGAGACTTTTCTCCCATTTCTTTACGTTCACTTTCTTGGTAACTCATCTACTCTTATTGGCTTTAAATACAATATATACACTTATAACTCTCAATTTATATTTCCAACCAGACCAGTCCTTTGAATTACAAATTTATTCAACTATCTATTCACCTTCTTCATCTGGCCATCAAATAAGCATCTCAAACTTAACATGTATGAAAAAAAAAAAAACAAAAAAAAAACAAAACTCCAGATCTAACCATCCCTCAAGCTTACTTCTCCTAGTCTTCCCCATCTCAGTAAACAGCAACTTCCCTTTTCCAATTATCTAAGCCCAAAATATTAAAGTTATCCCTCACTCTTTTCTGTATTTTATACCCAACATCTAGCCCATAAACAAATTCCGATAGCTCTACTTTCCACTTTTCATGAACTCTACCACCAGTTCCCTTATCCAAGCCATCATCCTCTTGTATAAATTACTAGAACAGCCTTCTAACTGGTCTGTGTTAGCCCTTGATCCAACAATCTATTCTCAACAGAGCATTCACTACCACTTTTTTTTTTTTAAGTCAGACCATGTCACATATCAGCTCAAATCTTTCCTATGGCTCCCAATATCACTTAGAATAAAAGCAAAATTCCTCTATCGCCAAATTCATCTCTTTGCTCTTCTTAAAACTGCCAGGCATGTTCCTGCCTCAAGACGTTTGTGCTTTCTTTGGTCTCTAGGTATCCACATGGCTCATCCTTTTCTAGATATCCACATAGATTCCACACAGCTCATCTTTTCCAAATAGGCTGTTTCCTCTATTTGTAATGCCCTTCCCATCCTTCTTTACCTGGAAAACTTATACTCATAAAACTTATACTCATAAAAACCAACTCAAAATATTATTTAATCCATTAAATATTCAACCATAACCTCTCTAAGTAGGTTATTCAGCAGTTTTTCATTCCCTATAAACTTTGCAATTACCTAAGCTTGAAGGATCAAGGATAAGGACATAGGAAGATCCAGTTCTATAGGGGCCTGAAAATTACACAATTTTGGTGGTCCTTTTTAAGAAAAAGAATGCAAAAATTCTTCTGCAAACTTCACCAAAATATATAGCTTTGTAACATACTCCTAAGGCCCCTTCAAAGGCCTTTGGAAGTGAGGGGCCTTGCAGTTGAAATTTCATTTATCTGAATGGTTAATCTATCTCTGGTGAGGAACAGTTACCGGCACCCAGTGGCTACACTGTAGCTGTTTCGAAGGAATGCAGTCCCTATCCAGCAATGATCCTAGAAAGAGAGAACCCCAAGAATAAATAACCTGGCCTCTCTTTCCTCCTGGTCTCCAACCTCTAGGTGATGTTTCCCATTGGCTGACCTCAACTAGAAAAGGCAAGGAATTCAGCTAATGCAGTCCATACAGGTTACCTCCTGAAGCCCAGAGTGCGGCGAAGACAGGATCTTGAGTAGCAAAGACTATCTACCATACCATGGTAAGAAATTAGGATCTTATTCCATAGGTATGCTATGCAGAGAATAAGTGGATCACATCTTAAGAAAAATAACTGTGACAGCTGTATAAAAGAGGGTTACAAAAGCTAGAGACTTAAGAACAGAAGAGTTCTTAAATTATAACTAGTAAAGTAGGCAGAACAGGGTTTATGAAGTGTGCTTTGAAGAAGTAACATATTATACTGTCATTTGCTTGTGTGTCTCTTTATAGGTTTTTTTTTTTTTATAAGATTTATTTATCTTAGAGCCAGCGAGCAGGGGGCAGAGGGAGAAGGAGAGAGAGAATCTCAAGCAGACTCTGTGTGAGTGCAAAGGTAGACATAGGACCCTGAGATTATGACCTAAGATTATAACATCATTTGTGACTTCCTATACAGCAAGGATTACATTTGACTCATCATTTTGTCTCACAGCTTAGTACTGTGCTTGTCACACAGTAAGTGGTCAACAAACACTTGAGAAATAAATGGCTGAATGTCCTAAAAGAAATGTTATATAAAATCAGGAGTTTTAAAAAAAAAATTTAAAGCCTAAAGATATTCCTGTAGGAATTTAGAGTTAAAATTATGTGAAGTGAATTAATAAATGGAGAGATGGAATCAGATACCAAAAAGCAGGATAGAAAAAGTCTGGTGGCTACTGAACTCCACTGATAAATGAGTCAAATTAAGATATGCCATTAAAGAGAAAGTATTTGGGATATAGGAGGTGAATATTTAAGGAAAAATCCTTTCATTTTTTGAAAGACAGTAGCCAACAATCAGTTGCTTGCAGAAACCAAAAACCAGAATTGTTAACCTAGCATGATCATTACTCATGCCTATAAAAAATCAAACAGTCAGACTTAAAAACCTGATCTTTTTCAATTGTTTATAAATTTGCAATCTGGGGCATAAGTCAGTGTATGCCTTAGTAAGTGTATGCCTCCAGATCAGGTCATGATCCTGGAATTCTGGGATGGAGCCCCTGGGTCAGGCTCCCTGCTCAACAGGGGGACTCCTTCTCCCTCTCCCTCCACCTGCCACACCCCCTGCTTGTGTTCTCTCTCTCTCTGTCAAATAAATAAAGTCTTTAAAAAAATTAATTCGCAATCCTAAGGATCAGAAACACTAACCATGGTAAATTCACCAACCCTCTAGGCAGCTTTCCCCTTCTGTATTTCAGTGCCTTTCCTTCCACTAGATGCACTGCTCTTTTACTTACTCCAAAGTCATTGAAGTTCTTGGTGTTAAGACTCATAAATGTGATCTGAGACAGTGGGAAAGCTTTGTTTATTAATAAGACAAAGTGTTTGGCTAAAAAACCTAAAAGTCTAAAGTCTGGGAATACATGGAAGTACTGTTTAAATATCCCTCAATTCTAATGGAAGAAATTCTTTCACATTTCTCCTGAATGGTGGTGGTAATTGGAGGTGGAGTGGGTGGAGGAAAGGATAAGAAGAGAGGAAGAACAGCTTATCAAAGTTTATCATACTACATCAGATTTTCAGATGGAATACTCTTCCCCAAGAAATGACCCATATATTATCCTTCAGAGCATAGAGAATCAGCCAATAGTCAAAGAAGATTTTTTTACAATCATGTTTCTTTCATGATTTTAGCAAGCAACTGACTAACTCAAAATATTTAAAAAACCTTTGTCACCGATGATCTAAATGGCTACCAGATTCATTTCCATGTCTAATAATGGCACATGAAATTGTTCACTGTGAATGAATATTGCCGAACTTGAAATCCAAACTCCCCTTTCCACTCCCTCCCGGCCTTCTAACCAAACACACAGAGGTCACTACATATAATGCAAAGAAAGACATCCTAGCACAGAACCCTGTAAGTGGCTTTCCAGGTAATAAGAATAGATGAACACTGCAGGCACTGGTGTTGCTTATGGTTCTAAGTTAAGAACATCACTAAGGTTTGGTTCACTCAATGCTTTCTTTATACAAACACTGTCCGTTGGCTTTGTCTTCCTTCCACTGAGGCAGCAATACTCTACAATTTTCTACTGTGACCCGTAATACCTTAAAGCCATCTCATTTCAT